GGCTGACAATGCTGGATTGCCCATAATTTTCATCAGAAACCAGTCAGTTTCAAGAATCGAAAGTGCTCTGTGTTCCTGCTTACGATGAAGTAATTTGTGCTGCAGATATTCTTGTCTTACTCTTGAAACAGTAATGACACAAATAAGAGAGTGTGAGGCAAAGGCAACATGAGCGTGTGAAAGTGCCAGTCATTCTCTTGGTAAATACCAAGTAATTATTGTGGTATTGGGTAAAACTGAGCCTGTGAAAATTGGCTCTTAATTACATTTGAAAGTCTATGTCAATAAGAAGCACTTTGTTGTTGTGTGCCGGATGACACTTGAAAATGGCAAAAGATGAAAGAAAATTTCACTTCAGATCTCTGGTGGACATGAACATCAGCTCTTGCTGATATTTCTTCCGCCTCTTGAGCCTGCTTGCCATGGCAACCTTTGTTTGCTTGCGGTAAAAGGAAAGGTATCATCATCCTTCACTTAATGCAGAATACAGCATTCAAGAGGAGAAAAAAACAGCTTTTAAAAATAAGTGAGAAAGCAACTTTCTTCCTGAAGCTCGTATCCTGCTGTTCGTTCTAGATAAACTGCTGAAAAGTGTACCTACTTTGAATTTTAAAGAGTTTTCTTGCTCTGCAAAGAACAAGTATTTTAAGGGTGCAAAAAAATGAGACTCAGCCTGTCTTTGGCCTAGCTAGGAACACTGCTGATTGGTCTTTCTTGTCGGTTAGTGTCCTAGTTTGAGCAATACAGGACTAATTTATCTTTCAGTAATTTTACTTTGCAGTAAAATCTCTTCTAATGCTAGGGAAAACTGCATATTTAGAAGACTCTAGAGTCTGAATTTGTGAAAATATTTACTTTATAGCCCGCTATGGTATGCAGGTTTCAAAGTCTCAGTGTTTTTGAGCTCGCCAGGTGCAGAGATGAGGAGGAGCGAGACCCGGGCACTTGACCCAAGCTGGCCAACAGCATTATTTCATACCATCAACATCACATTCAGCATAAATGAAAAAGTTTGCTGAGGAGTTTCTCTATTCCTTGACGGCTGCCATCCTGAGCACTTCTTGCGCCGGTGCTGGACCCCTGAGTCCTTCCTTCCCTCCCAAAGCCGTAGTCTTGCAGTGTCTGACATTTGCTGTCCACTGCTGGGAGTGCACAGCTTCCTACTGATAGAATTGGCTGAGTATATTCATTGTGTATTTTATATTGGTATCGGGATAAGTATTGGTTCTTTAGTGTTATTAATGTTAATTATTTAGCATTATTCTATTAAATCTGTTTATATTTCAGCCCTCAGGTTTCCCTGTTTTTCCTGATTCCCCTTCCTGGGTGGGGAGGGGTCATCGGGTTGGAGAACGATAGTCTAAATGACAATACATTGTTGTGGATTCCTCGAACCATAACAGTTAGCAAAGTAGTTCAAGAAGCAAGGTATTTTTTCCTCAAAAATATTTAGTGCAAGACTTCAGTGCAAAGAGAATAGAAGAGCCTTACTGACCAGGTTCTGCAAAGACCGTAAGCTTCAGTATAAAAAAGTTGACTTATGGAAACTGAAGGAAGGTGAAAAAGCCTACATCTATCATGAGACATCCAAAAGCATTTCCAGGTTGCTGGATTCAGGTGCCTTTAGGCTATGTACCAGTTCTATATCAGGAGGCAAGATTCAGCAGGCCCTTTCCTGTTCATCCTTGTTTCTGTGTAAGGAAATTCATACAAGAACTGTTGCATACCCTGGCTACACACCAGCTTGGATGAACAGCCAGGATGCTAGGATGTTTTGTGGCACTCCTTGGAAGTCTGAGGCTATTCTTGAGCCCAAGTCATTTGCGTGCCCAGCCAGGGCAGAAGAAAAAAAGCACCATTTTCTCCACATATATTTGAAAGATTTTCATGTATCCCCTTAAATATCTATTTTAATAAAATTAATAGTTAGTGTTATTTCCCACATATTAAATGCAAGGGTGCTAGAGCTAACTTTACTGTTAAGAACTGAAGTTTAGAAAGGTTGTTTTCAGTGACTTGCCCAATATGAGATGGAATTAGGTCTTGCAGACAGGCTTTATGTTGCCCGACTTCATTATGACTTCATACGGCTTACCCGAACATCACAATAAATTGCAGTGGTTTGCACAAATGAAAAGTATTTTCATCCACTGAATTGCTGGAAAGAGTATTTCAAGCAATATTTTCTGATAGTATAGGCCCATTATGCAGGTCTTCTGATTATGCAGGGTTCTTTCAAAGATTATATACTGCTTTTTTTTTAAAAAAAAAAAAAAGAAAAAAACAGTTTCTCAGAAAATAGGTGACATTTTTGACTGTAAAACATGCCTCACATCTGCTGGACACCCAGGACTGAAGTCATTATATTCTAGCTCACAGGACTGTCAGGAAGCACAGGTATTTTTTTCACTGTTACTTATATAATATTGTGCTGAGCACAGCAGAAATAGTTTTGCTAACAAAGACATGATGACAGAAGTTTCTTATCAGAAAACTTACACTGTGTGAGATTCATCTTGCGTTTTGTCAGATAAAGTTGAACACACAAGAAGGTACCTTTAGAGGAACCGTTTATCTTAGTCCAAAATATTTGCCTAAACTAGATTGAATTACTGCTTTCTGGATATGCTTACCTCTCTCCGCTGATTACTAAGGGACTCTAAACAATTATTTTATCTCAAATATTTAACTTTTAGACAGATAAAGTAAGATGAATCAGATCTTGGAAGTTCTTTATGTGTAAGATGAAGATAACTGTGTGCACACACTCTTGTATCATGAATTTTGAGAACTATGGACAGGCATGATTTCTTGGTGTTTAGATACTCTGATGAGTATTCTGAGTATCTGGCTACAGGCCGTATGCAGAATAAGATTACATGGGGAGATGGCTGAGTTATGTCTTCTGTAATTAATGGACATAATTTCCTTCACCCCTTGCCTCCACATGGAAGTTCTACCTTACTTGACCCAAGAGCAACATTTCTTTTCCTATACTGTTCTGTATCTGCAATATTTCCCTCTGTTGCCATAATGCTGTATGCAGCAGCAGCAATAAGAAATGCACACAACTGTCCCCAGCTCGTCTTTGTGCTCTGATGCAGACCTTGGGGTCTACATTCCTAAAATCCCACACCACCAGAAAAGCAGATAAAATATATTCATCGTGGCAATGCATTTAGTAAATGTTTAGGGACTGTCCTTTTTTCCTACTTACTCCGTTCATGAGGCTGTTGAATTTCAGCTGGATTGAGTTCGCTCACTGTTGAGGTGTTGACGTGTAGAAGGCAGCTTTGTCTCATATAAATAGCTCAGCTAACTTCAGTAGTAGGAGAAAGTCTGAGTTCACTGGGATCATTCTCATGTATGAAATCTGTAGGGTCAGGCACACCTCGAGGGAAGAAATAAGACTTCCCAAATATTTAAACATTGGTTGTAATTAGTAAGTATACACAGGTCTTCAGCAGAGGGAGGATACAATTTTGGTAGAGGGTGAGAAACATCACTGCAAAATTAGCTTGTTGACACTGGATATTTTTCTGAGACATACGTATTAATATAAGCAACTGTATTCATTGCAGTGTTTTGTGGTTGACAGAGGAAGATTCTCATGAAAATTGTTCAACTTTGAAAGTACCTAACAGCTCTATCTTGAATATGGAAACCCAAACCCAGAAATTTATGAATGTGTGTTTCCAAAATGTTACTTGCAGTTTAAAAGAGCAGTTTAGAGCATGTTTCATCTGCCTGTTCTAGAGGAAAACCATAAAAAGAATTTGTGGGAACTTGTATTCTCTTGTGAAATTTAAAGATCAATTGATACAAAGAATTCCCCTCTTTGTTGTCACAGAGCATCCAAGACACATTTTAAACTCATGTTTTGTGAGTCAAAGGGCACTTCAGAAATAGTGTGTGACTGTTCCTTTCATCTGTGTGTTTTTGATGAAGAGCATGTACATAACTAATACTTTGAAATTCAGTTAGCTATATTGAATCACAGCTTTTTTGCTTTTTCTCTTTTTTTTTTTTTCTCTTTTAGCCACAATAATTGACTTGCCTAGGGTAACTCTAAATATTAAATAAGCATTATAATTATGAATGTTGTTTGACAGAAATGAGAGTTGGCAGTCAGATTCTGATGGAAGTTAAATGTGCAGAAATCCACAGTAACAGAAATCAACAGTTACTTTGGCGTTGTTGCTGGTTAGCAAATGACTGGTGCCTGCTTCAAGAGCCTTTTCATATGCATTTAAGTCTGTGGATCCAGCTTTCTAGCACTGATTGCAAGGCTGGTGCCTAAACTAAACAAGAATAGAGATTAAAGAGAACAGACAGAGAGGCATCAGGACGGAGGAGACCAAGATCAAATAGAGATTCCTCCCTTGCTGTAACACATATTCTTAAAAAGCATGCGATTGCTCAGTTTCTCCTATGCAGTTTCTGTTAACAACTTTGCAGATTCATACAGAAGAAAATGTTGCTTTTCTTCTTCTGGAATTTCTACCTTTTGAACCTTCCTTCAATTTGTCCCACAGGGAAGTGCAAGCGAGGCCACCTTGATTTCACTGCTTGCTGCAAGAACAAAAGCCATCAGACGGGTGCAGTCAGAAAAGCCTGAGCTAACAGAAGCAGACATCATGGGTAGGCTGGTGGCCTACGCTTCTGATCAGGTGAGTTACCGCTCAAAAACATGGAAACGTGGGCTCTCTGCTTAACAGTTTCAGCCATCTCAGTACACAGGTGACTTTGGATTGGTGACTATTTGGCCTTGCTGATTTAAATCTTACTGTACATCCTAAGAAGGGTGGAATCTCACATATGCTACCATAATAGAAAGAGTAAATTTCTGGAGGTCAGTGTTATATAAGTATTGCTTCTTCACAAAAAGAGCTCATTTGAAGTAAATAAAGATACTTGAGTAAGGTATTAATTTCAGTTGTATTGAGTAAGTCTAGAGCATCTTTTGTTACATCTAGGCTTGTGTGTCCATGTGTGCACACATTTTTTTCCTCCTACATACACATGCGCAAACAAAGACACATACATACTCTCCCTGTATGCATGCATGGGTGCGGGTGCATGCACACAGACAATGCTAGTGCACCAATATAAAGCAAATTGGTCATAGTATTTGAAGAAGCCTAAAACATTATTATTTTTTAAAAGAAAAAAAATCCTAAGATCTCCATGTATCCATACAGCTAAGAAGTCTTCTGAGAAAACAGAAAACATAATCCTTGATTTCTGACTGTGAGTGGTATTTAGCAGACTGAGTTAGGCTAAATTCTCAGCAAGCCAGGACCATGAGAGGCTTTCACTGTTAATGAAATCAAATTTTAGTCTTCTGAGTTCTGCTGCTCTTACTTTTTTGACACACTAATCCTACTGAAGGGCCAAGCAATGTTGCTTCTCTCAATAGCTGTGATGTTTTCTTATCTTAATGTCAATGAGATAGAAGAAAATTCTTCAGTATTTGGTGTTTAGTTTGAAGTAATATCTGGTTATGCAGAACAAAATGCCCAGATTTCAGGCTTACCTTGATTTACTACTAACTGTATGTTAAAAAGCACTGGAGAACAAGTTAAAAGTACACTTGCTGTTTGCTGGTGGGAAGAGGCACTACACTTGTAGGGTGAGAACAGTCAGGACAAGAAAACATGAGGAAAGATAACTGGTTTCAAAAGGCACAAAGGATATTTGTCCTTTTTTTGTCTGAGACTCTAAGGTCTGTGCTGCACAGACCGCCAGTCCCAGAGCTCAAACTCTGACCCAGTGATGCACAAAACCTTTTACTTGTTTTCATTTTTGGTCCCGTGTAAGTGGCTGACCTGAAATGAGGACTGACAGGCCTCTCTGCCTACTGAAGGTCAGAGGATCTTATGTTTATACAAGGATTTGCCTTAAGATATTGCTGACCTTTCAAAGCAGATTGTTGCAGAGCTCACCGGTCCTTCTGCATTAAGAACAGACCTGTGTGACTCATAGGCAATAATCCACAAAAGAAAGTAAGCCTAAGCCTTTCTGTGGGAGAGAAAACCATGTACCGACAGAGCACAACGCTGCAAGAATGTATTAGGAAGGAGGTAACAAGTTGGCTGGTCAGGAGACCCAGAGCAGATCTCATATATCTTGGGACATCATTTCAGCTTCTTGGCATTTTGCGAAAATCGTTATCCCACTGAAATCATTTTGCTTTGTGTTAATGAGTACAGAGCAGGACTGGCAACAAAGCTTTCCCAAATAGCTACTTGGGGGTTTGGAGACAACAGAAGAGGATCCCTGTCTGTTGTAGTGCCTGGGTTATCCTGACCGAGGCTCCTCTTGCAAGGGATACTGAATGTGAGACCTGGGAGCTGAGAGGAGGATCCAGTTACCCCTGACTGTTTGGGACCGGGACAGGGATCAGGGTACTTTTTTTGATACTCACAAATTTTCTCAGGTAATTTCCTTCATCAGCCTTTTTTTGCCATGTTTATTTGGCTACCTTAAGACCACTCGTTTCACTGATTTCTGTTTGGTACCTTGCTCTCATCGAGGGTAGTGGGAGATTCCCAAGTACCTTGCTGAGAACCAGGAATTCCATGGAGCAGCAGGTCACTAAAGATTTGTTATAATGGAAAGCATCTCGGCAGTTTTAACCTTAAGACTGTGAATGGATGTAGTTATCAGAGAGCATCACTACAATTTTGGAGGCTTGAGGAAGGAAGTTCTGACTGGCTAACAACCTCAATTTATTGTTGTAGTTTGCTTATTTACAATTTTTGCATAAATCAGTTATAAAGTACCTCTTGCCATTGTGCACTTGAATGAAGTGTGGTATTGCTGTGGTACACACATTGTTTTTCACTTCAAAAGCAGTTAATTATATTTCAGGTCTAGACTTCTATATTTTCTCAAGCTGGTGCCTAATTAGTTTGCCAAAGTACTTTAACAAGAGGCACTGCTGAGATGCAAGTTAATAGTCAATCTGCCTTTAAGATGCGTGATTCCAGGAATATGTGAAGTTGAAAGGCAGAAACTTTTTCTTCATCTGGTCTTGTTCAACCTGTTTTGGCTTAATCTTTTCTGTGATTATATGCTAAATTAGAATAGAATTAGTAAGCACTCTTGTAGACACTAGTAAGAAACAACAAGGGTAGGATGGAGATTATGAATGAAAATAATCACGATATGAAAAGGTGAGGAATTTTTCCTTTCAAATTAATGATGATTAATGAAATTGTAGAAAGTGGAAGGTAAAATAACTTCTTTTGGGTTTAGTTATGCTCTAAAGGAGAGTATTTTGTAGCTAAACATACCTTTTACTGTTAATAGAGTCATTATACTATTGTACTTCACAAATTTATAACAATTTCTTAGTGATATCTTTGTTTTTATTTACTGAGATTTACTTTATGTTCTAAAAAATATTATTTAAGGGGAATTAAAATAAAATGGGTTATAAATAAAATAACATATTGGGAATGATCCTTAATTGCCTACCAAAATGAATGAATGATTGAACCACAATTTATTCTGTAGGTAGTCTAAAAAAATGGTAATGTAAGAAAATATCTCAGTCTATACCATACCGTGATGTATATTTTTTTAGGGTTCAGCAAAGCTGTATGCCATGAAAATACGCTAGTGAGCAACTGAATCATTATCAGGCAAGCTGATTATCTGCATGTCTTTTGGTTGATTTGGAGCCAAATCCTGGAGCTCTTAATCAATCCTACCTAATTGTGAATATGTTAATTAAAGCTCTCACTAAGGTTAATTGAACTCTTGTCTGAATGACGCCATGGTAATGGTTTGAAGAATAATTCAGGGTTCCTATTAGTGTATTTGTGTGTGTATATGTATGTATGCGTGTTTGTCTGTCTGTCTGTGTGAAAGAGGGAGAGGTACGTATCTGTTACATGCCAGCAACAGTCCCAGGGTCTCAACTGTTGCTTTACTTGAAAGAAATGATTTTTTATTTTCAAATTCAAATGAACTACTTACATTCCAATAGAAGGTATCTGTCTTAAAACCTGCCCATTTCCTTGTAGGCTCATTCGTCAGTGGAAAGGGCTGCATTAATTGGTGGTGTGAAGATTAAAAATGTTTCTTCAGATGATACATTTAGTGTTTGTGGTTCAGCCCTAAAGAAAGTTTTGGACGAAGACAAAGCTTCCGGTCTTATCCCATTCTTTGTGAGTACTGGTTTTTAGTTAATCAGTGGATTTATTGCTTCTGATAAGCTATTTCTGACATGAGTAGATGATCTCAGCCCTAACAGAGGGATCGATAGGCTACCTAGCTAGAATACTAGGACGGGTTTCAGGAGTGTTCTTCACGCGCATTTCTGTGCAGTATAAGCAAGTCATTTGAGCAGCTGGTTGCACTTCTCAGCAAAAATGATGTTTTAAAAAGGCTTAAAGTTATGTTGGACAGTTGAATAAATGGAGGTGAATTTTGTAGTTGCATGTAATCCTGCAATCCTCCTAACACTTGAATTCTGAACCACCTCTTTTACAAAGGTATACTTTTATTTTTCGGGTTCTAACTTGCGTACACATAAAACAAGTTTAAAGGCAATAAATTAAATGATGGAACCTCAGAATTAAGCATTTTTAAGACAAAATAGTTTCTTCTCCTCACTATTTTAGCAAAGAAGTCAACCTCCATAATGTACCCCAAAGATCAGCAAGATCTGACGTTGTCAGACAGGTATGAGTATGTGACTTATCTCTAACAGATGAGCTATAGGGAATCTGGCTGTGGAAGTCTAAAGGTGTCGTTGTTTATTGTTAAATATCCATTTTCCTTTCCAGAGATTCCTCCTTCCACAGCAGTCCAGCAAAAGCAAATGTTTATATCTCAGTAGCTAAAGCTCATAATCCCCCAATTTTTGACACAGAACAGTGTTAGATCGGATACAATTCTAAAGTTTCGTTCTACTATAAGATCAAAAAGAATATTGGCTTATTCAATAACATCTACTCCTCCTGTCAGTTCAGAACAACATATTTCAAGTTGAAGCAAGATTTTGCCATTTGTTTTTTCATGGAATAAGTAGCCTCTGTTGTGTTTTTGTAGATCATCAACAATTTTTTTGCTCGTTTCCAAGCATTATGCCTCTACAAACTTGATATAGACCGTGATCTATATAGATCTGTAAAGGGGTATAATATGCTACCAATAATATGTTTTTACTGGCCTCCATTGAACAAAAATGGGAGGGAAAAAGAACTATTTTAGAAACCGAGAACTTTAGAAATGTGATTGTTTTAAGAGAGTCAAAAATATGTCATGATTTTTTTCAGAAAAGTCATACTTGACGATGATTTTTCCTTTTCTTTCATGTGGTAACATTTTGAAAAGAGCTAATGTGACTTAAATTTCTATTAAATGTTTTCAGAAGAATTAGCAGATTAAGCTTGCTTATAGTTGTGGATAAGTGTCAAACAGGACAAAGAAGCTTAAATTTCACGAAGCTTTTTTGAAAACGTAATGATTTTACTTGTTATTAACCTCTAGTATCTGGTTTTGTGTAGTATAAGGATGAATAGGGTGAAAAGTGTTTTTCATACGTGCAGAATGCTGCTGATTTCCAGCCTGGCTAGAACTAGTGAGTCCTTGGGATGACCGGGCACATCCCATCAATTGCTTTCTGATATAATATGACTATGGCTGAGAAACAAAGCATCTAAAAGGCTGCCTAAATGAACTTTCTTCTGTGTGCTGCACATATTGAAGTGGAGATGTGCCATAAGGCATGTTTTATTTGTCTGTTATATGGTACCAGCTCGTAATATCTTGTATAAGATTCTACTTGTTTGTCTTATTGTTAATTTTAAACAATTAGAAGTGCAGCATTGTATCACATCTCGGTGCTCTAATTAAAAATTTAACGTGGTTTTTCCTCATCTTTTGTCCATTAACAAAAAAATGCAACTTGCCTCTCATAAATATTCATCCCTTATTAATTTATCTTTGTGTACCAAGAAGAAATAAAAAATTCTGGCTTATGCATTCAGTGACACCTTTACAAAGGGTGATTTAACTGTTGTTTTTCTTCATCTGTTTGCTTAGCTGTGCAAAACAGGCTTTCAAAGACAGTAAAGGCTCAGCCTGAGTTAATATGGCCTGTGCCAGGTCTTCCATTTATTTGTATACATAAAACATGTCAGCTTAGATTAAACTAGATCTCATTATCCTTATGGTTGGCCTCTTAACTCAAAAGGTGTGTTAATTCTCTGTCATGCTGAGCAGCAGTCCATGCACTGTATTTATGCTCCCTTTTCTGGCTTGCAGATTGCAAAAGCCTTTCCATTTCTTTTGTTCTTGAGTAATTTGGTGCTATTTTATTTTGCTGTGGTGACAAAGATATGCACATTGCCAAGGAAACACCTTACGCCACTTTATTCCTTGTCTCCCCGTATTCACTGATCCTTCACTAAGGGGAGTGATTCAACATCAAAGCAAAAAGTTTAACAGAAGAAATTCTGCCTGAAGAGACAGCAGACATCATTCCGAATGCAGAGATCTCGGTTACATCCAAGCTGATGTAGTCTCCCTTATCAGAAAAAAAAAAAAAGTTTTGTAGGGGATTGAAAAGAAAATACAAGCAAATTACAATGCCTTCTAGGCATGATCCTCCTCTTATATTTAATGTATAGATGAGGAGTCATTAGACCAAACTTGATAGAAGTGCTTTGCTTATAGAGGTGAGTGGAGAATCAGGGGTGCGTTTGCTTGATGTGAAACAGGTTCTCTCATTTACAGAAGTCTGGTAATTATAGGTTTGATTTTCACATACACAGGATTTGGCAGCCAGCCTTTTGTGGGAGTGGCATTGCCTTTAAAATACATCTTTGAAATCCTATCCACCATCAATACCTTTTAGCACTAGTAACGTGTATATCATTTTGTTCCATGAAGGCTATTGCCAATTAGTGTACCCAGACCTCTACTTTTGTTTCCTTTTATTATTTCTGAGTTTGGACTTGTGTTCATTTATCTCTTTCAAAATCCTTTTGCAGAAATTGAAACAGAGATATTTTCATATAATAAAGCAAGCAGACTGTGCAAACAAAGCACTTAACTGTGTCAGGTGTGGAGGCACTAAAGTTGCCACGATTTACCGAGAAGCAATTTCCAAGTGTGGCTGATATGCAGCCCTTCAACTGGCCACCAGTTAAAGGGGAGCTTTAAAGCATGTGCTGAAGTCATGTCCATTTCATTAATTATAAACACTGACTGGTGGTTAAGCACACGCATAAATGCCTTTCTCAGTTGGGCCCTAAGCTCCCAGCTTGAGACAGGCCTCTGCATTGAATGAATGTTGACCGGGATGCTCAAATATGGATACCACTAAGTTAAGCACTGCTAAATTCAGAGGTAGGGTCCACCGCATTCAAGCCTAGTTCACTTGAATGTGTATAAGTATATATATTGCAGCTGGGATATATATGGTACAATATACTTCAACAAGCTCATCTAGTATAAAGCTGCTATAACATGATCACCTTGCTGCTGAACAACGGCCCAGCATGAAATCTCTCCGACTCTAGCTGAAATGACTCTTCCGAATGATGATCTGCAGGATATTGAGAAGCAGGCTGTATCCGGACTCACTCGGGAAACAATAAATCAGAATTAGACTGACAGAGGAGCCATCTTTTCAGTAGAAGTTAACGCTTAGATCCTGACCACAGATTCCCATTTGGAAGAAGCATTCTCGAGATATGTACAGGCTTCTAGGGTGATGTTTCTTAACCCACAGTTTGTGAACGATTGCTGTTCCATAAAATACGGAATGGTGGCTTAGTAAACTGTTGCAGTTTTCTTCAAGCCACAGACATTCTCCTGAGTGCAAGCTGGCAAACAACGGAGTAGGAGAAAATAAAAATAGTAAGAGAACATTGAAAGTTCTGCCTCATTTTAGTTTATTGCAAATGAAAAGCTTTGTGGTGAAACTGTGCAAAATGTATCCACATCTTTTTCAAAAGCTGTAGGAGGTCTTCCAGTTGAAAAGATTGAGAGTCATTGCTCTCAGGCATCATAAAGATTCATGCATGTTGCCTGACACATCTCTTGATTTCAGGAAAGTAATACATGAGATGACTGAGGCAAGCATTTTAGCTGCTTTGCATTCGCAACCAGGGCTGAGTCAAATTTGAAGTGCACAACCTGAAAAGGATAAGGCCTGCAGGCTGTACTGAGCCAGCAGTCCCATTTCTGTGTTGCAGCCTGTCCCCCGCCCTTTGCACAAATGTGATTTTGCCGGTGTTATACAGGTTGCAAATTGAGTTAGATTCATTGTGTAGTACTGGGGCAGGGTAATGAGAGTCCTGAAAAGAGCAGATGCTGTCACTTTAACTGGTTTCTGAGAATTAAAACAAGTAGCTTGGAGGCTTAGACACTTGCAGAGAGTACAACAAAATTATTTTAGAAACTGAGGTATACTTTACAGAATAAGCTGTTATTTAAACAACTAAGCATGTGTTTGAACTCATATAATCTCTCATTGAAGCAACATACTCCTTATCCCCATTAGAAGAAGAATACTTTTACTGCAGTACAACACTAATAACAATAATGTGTAACTTTCTGTTGTGAAATCTCCATCATGAATTTAGTTGCTGGACTAGCTAATATAATTTCACTCTAATCTTTTCAGAAAGTCCACGCCATATTATCATAAAACATACCTATAAAAGCAGAGCTAAGACTATAGTGCACTCTTTATTTGGGTATTTTCCAGTCCAATGGGTTAACCCCTATTCTTTATGTATATAGAAAAATTAGAATTTTCAGCATGGTATCCTCTATTTCTTGTGACCCAATTTGTAGATCTATAGTTCAGCAAAAGATTAAATGCACATTTCTCCTGATTGTGCCAACATCTTAGGTAGACAATAGTGCAATAAATGTAATTTCACTCCATACACGCATGCCCTCTTAGTAAAAAAAAGGAGAAAACTTACTCCTTTTAAAAAAAAATTCCTACAATCTTTTTAAAGCAACCTCCCTCAAAGGATGATTAAACTTCCAGAGAAATCATAAACGTACCTCAAGGCACTGTAATTATTCTGTTCTTCTCATGTGTCTCAGGAATATGGGAAGGCTCAGTATAGATAAAGATTAGATTATTTTGAGGGAAAAATGTGTTAGCAGCAAAATTTTATTAACTGTATATTCAATGTACTTCTAATTTTCAGAACTGTATTTGTTTCAAATCCAGGTTCTTAGCAGCTTGATATGGAAAAAATACTGAATTGTCCCTTTCTTATTTTAATAGCAACTTTTCCCATAGCCAATATTTTTTATTGGTGCAATGAAACGTGATTATAGTTATTAATATGGCTGTAATTGTGAATTTGGGGGGAACATGTGCACTGCCAGGGCTAAAATGTTTTCAGGGTTCTATATGACTACATTTAATCAGGTCTGCCCTATACAAAGGCAGGATATGACTTCCTCTAAGAGTGTATATAAATTTATAAGAATTGAGTACTATCCGAGTACTTTCCATTAAACAGAAAAATTCAACTCCCTACAACAATTTAAAATGTCTCTGATGTATATGATATAATATAGATGCAGAAATGTTCAAAAGTCTACTTAAAAGAGAGATGTTACCTCTCTAGCAATAGATTATTATAGTTCAATATTCTTGGGATGTATAATTTTAAATTTCTGGCTTTTTGAATGCACATCCACCTGCCCTTTTTACTGGATGTTTATGTTAGTGTGGGATTTCCTAGAAATTTTGAAAAATCTAGTTTAATAAGTAGTAAAACCACTGTCTCTCACTTTGCCTGAATTCTCTAAAAACCTGGAACTTGCAAATGAAAATCTGATCACATTTATTCAACTCTTTGTCTCATAATCAGATTATTTTTTCCAAGATGTCGGGCCTTTCTAGTGTGTTGTTGCCACTTTATTTCATAGAATGAAAAGATGAAGAAAAAAGCTTCATAGTTAGGGAAGCCCCAGAGGGAAAACCAACTCTTAGTCCTGAGATGTGTACAGAACCTGCTTCAGGATCTGACTGTGGATGGTTTGTAACAGTCTCCAATATCCAATAGTTGGTAGAAGTGAAAAAGTCAAGGGATCCTCAACTTGAAAGCGGGTGACAACTTATGAATGAGGATGAGTGTGCAAGGAAACAAATAGTGTAAAATGTTAATGTCTAAGTGGGGACCAGTGACGAGTGGCATTCCTCAGGGGTCAGTACTGGAATCGGTGCTGTTCAGCATCTTTGTTGGTGACATGGGCAGTGGGATTGAGTGCACCCTCAGCAAGTTTGCTGACGACACCAAGCTGTGTGGTGCGGTTGGCATGCCGGAAGGAAGGGGATGCCATCCAGAGGGACCAGGACAGGCCGGAGAGGTGGGCCCGTGCAAACCTGTTGAAGTTCAACAAGGCCAAGTGCAAGGTCCTGCACCTGGGTCAAGGCAGTCCCAAGCACAAATACAGGCTGGGCAGAGAACAGATTGAGAGCAGCCCTGAGGAGAAGGACTTGGGGGTGTTGGTTGATGAGCAGCTCAACATGAGTCGGCAATGTGCGCTCACAGCCCAGAAGGCCAACCGTATCCTGGGCTGCATCAAAAGAAATGTGGCCATCAGGTCGGGGGAAGTGATTTTGTCTCTCTACTCCTCTCTCGTGAGACCCCACCTGGACTACTGCGTCCAGCTCTGGGGCCCCCAGTGTAAGAAGGACGTGGTCCTGTTGGAGCAGGTCCGGAGGAAGGGCCATGAAGATGATCAGAGGGCTGGAGCACCTCTCCTATGAGGACAGGCTGAGAGTGTTGGAGTTGTTCAGCCTGGAGAAGAGAAGATTCCGGGAGACCATAGAGCAGCCTTCCAGTACTTATAGGGGGGCTACAGGAAAGCTGGGGAGGGACGCTTTATCAGGGAATTTTTACAAGGGCATGTAGTGATGGGACGAGGGGGTAATGGTTTTAAACTTAAAGAACGTAGATTTAAATTAGATATTAGGAAGAAATTCTTGCTGAGAGGGTGGTGAGACACTGGAACAGGTTGCCTAGAGGAGCTGTGGATGCCCCATCCCTAGAGGTGTTCAAGGCCAGGCTGGATGGGGCTTTGAGGAACCTGGTCTAGTGGGAGTTGTCCCTGGCCATGGCAGGGGGGTTGGAACTCGATGATCTTTAACTTCCAACTCTAACCATTCTATGATTCTATGAAAATATTGGTAGCTATCAAGCAGTCTGTTTAATTAGAGTAGAAATACTTAGTGCAAATATGTATCACCTTTTAAAAAAGAAAGAAAAAAGACGCTCCTGAAAAAGCTGGTGTCCTTTAACTTTTGAGAAATGGGAGGTCCTAGAATTAATGAGATACCAGTGAAACACAGGAGAGACAGCATCTGAATGTCCAAGCTAGAAGAATAGAAAAGAGCATATTCTTGGCAAGTGAAACGTGATATTAGGCTAAAACAGATTATAGAATTTTAGCAAACTATTTGCTACTGGCATAATAACATGAAATTATTTTTCTCAGAAGTAGAAAGCTTGTTGTACTAGAGAGAGAGACTGAGAGCTGAAAGCAAGTAAGGCCATATCAGGTAATGTAAACATGAACAAAATCCTTTGCTACTGAAGTGCTTACTCACATCGTGATGACTTAACAGAACAAGCAGAAAGTCCACCCTGTTCCACACACTTGAGCCACCAACTGCACCTCTCAGCTGGGCACCAGCAACATGTCCCCATCCTGCAACAGCTCCACAGCTAAGGCAGCAATGACAACAACACATGCTGCTCTCCAATGAGGACATTCTCTAGTATAGCAGAAGACCTACTGTACTGGACAAACTAAGAAGATGCGTAAGAAATTTAAGATATTACTTGGCATGTTGGATGAGCCAGAGAAGACCAATGCAGAGGAGGAACCACTGGAAACATTTCCTGATGGTTTCACTCCTGCTGCAAGGGAGACAGGGAACCCAAAGGCCCTGCGTACCTACTTGGTATGGAGCTGTGAGACAAAAGTGCACTGTCTGGAGTTTTAATGTATAATTGTATCTATGTTTTGCTATGACAGTATGTTTGTTTCTTGAAAGGTCTAGTGGATGGACAAGTATCATCTAGGCGTTCGTTTGTCTTCTTCTAGGTCTTGTCATGAATTCACTGAGGGACACGAACACACACACACACATGAAAAATGTGGCTAGTTGCAAATATAGAGGGAATAACAGTGAAAGCAAAAGATAGGGCATTGACAGTGTACTTGGCAGAAAAAGTAACCAGAAGTGCAAAAATAAACCCCCCAAATTTTACATATTTATAGTCATCTCCTGGCTGTACTATAGTTTGTGTGTGACCTTGGATAAATGATCTAATTCCTTCATACTTCAATACTCTAACTAAAAGCCAGCATACTTTATTTGCCTATTTAAGCTGTTAAGTGTCTTTTATTATATAAAAACCCAGTACAAGGCAAAAACCAGACCCATCTTTTATTAGTTCTTATAAAAATGAGACAGGGTGTTTAAAACCTAAGTGTAACAATGAAAAATAAAATAATGTCAGTTTATATGCACTTGGTACTTGGTTTTGGGGGTTGTAATGCTACCTGCATATTCCCAGTAAATTACCATAGCTCATTTTCACCTAGTTTTATTCTCTTTCTACTGTGAAACTTCGGCATTTTTGTTGCTTCGGCTTTTAGCCCACTGGTCATGCAGCAGGACACATTTAATGAGACATTAACAGAATGAAGGAAAAATGGTTCCAGTATTTTAGGATGAATTTGGGAGAAAAAGTTTCTCTGGGAACAAAACTCTTGCAAACCTGCTAGTGAACATACGCTACTCTTGAACAGGTCCCAGGCTGCGGATCCATTGAGCATAAATCAGTCACAAGTCTCTGTTACAGAGCTGTGGCTCTTTAATTTAGGCAGTAACATTTTATGATCCATTCGGTCAACAGGAATTCCAGCACCTTTAAGTTGCTCAAGTTCAGAGCTTGCTTATATACCATAAATTGCAAATCATTTTGATGATAATTGCGTATGTGAGGTTAGTATTGGGCCACATGATAAGCATGTGGAACACATTGAAAATATATAAAATATAGCATTAATATAATACTGTGACTATATTACATTATTTATCAGTAAATTTTATATTAACATTCAATTTTATGTGTCTGTCTCAATGGATGCTTATGAGAGCTTTGAAAAAAAATTAGATTCTCAAAAGTTCCACTGAAGGATAGGTATTGGTGAAAATCAATTTATTTTGCTCTATATAATCTATTTTCTCTGTTTATTGTTGCCTTTACAGACAGTTTTCTTCATTTGATAATTTTCTTTGCTGTAACACTTAATTTTTTTTTTACCTTTGTTTTTTTTTGGCTCTGCAGTTCTGTGCAACACTTGGAACCACACCTTGCTGCTCCTTTGACAAACTGTTAGAACTGGGTCCTATTTGTAAGTCTTTGCTGCTACTTTCTAAAATTACAGATACCAGTTTAAGCCATGCTGAGTCATTTCCAGGTCATTATGCAGCATCAGTGTCCAAATTCAATAAGGCTACTTATAGATGAGACCTTCAGTTACAGTTTTCATTCTAATATTAGGTCAAGCAGCAAGCAAGCTTGCGTTCTCAAATCATTAAAGAGTACAGAGGCCATTGCCTGAAGGCTTTTTTTGGGGGGGAGTGGTGTGGTATTTTGGAACACTGTCAGTTAAAAAATACTGTAAGTGCTTCAGTTTGTAACGTTTTTCTTCAAGCCCTTCTACCTGCAAGTGCGTCTAAAGCAGTGGTGAAGACCAGGGAAAAACTGAACTCAAATTCTCCTCTGCACCGAGTATTTTCTTTCTGTCCAGTTCTAATGACTATAAACAGCAGGGAAATATGCACCAAAAATCCACATGTATTCTCCTTAAGCCTTCCTCTTCCTTCCCCGATTTCCTTTCTCTTGCAAGAAAACAGGACAAGTACCAGGGTGTTTAATACGGTGACCGAGTCATGGACTCTTCATAAATATTTCTGTGCTGTGGTCTGTTGTGCCAAGCTTTGGTCTGCAGCAAGGCTTGGTCGAAAGCACACACTTGCTGCCTGATGAAAATGCAGCCGAAGCGCGCCATATCCATCCAAGTGTACACTTAGAACAGGAAATTTATAGCTATCAGAAATTGGAAGCAGCCTCATAGAAACATGGCTAGATTTGATGTTCAGGTGGAGCCTAAACCATGGGGTTTTCGTGGTGGTGACTTGCTCTGTGAGGTTTCCTGCCCTTCAGCACAAGCCCCAGAGACTCAGCTTCTCCCACTCCTTTCTAAAATGGTTTCTAGTAGTCTGCTTAGCAGCTAGAGACTATTTTCCTGTTCAGGTTATTCCCATAGACCTGGCATAATAAAATGGTGACAACAATACTTTTAGGGATAGCAACTAATGATGTTTGTTTCATCAGCTGCTCTCAGTGATTTCCTGCTTGAGCAGCAGAAGCCAGCAGAAGGATTAGGCACTGCTCAAATCATGTCTCACACTAACTTTTCTGTGTGCAGGTGAATTTTCTTCTTAATATAGGTGAGCAGTAGTCCTATGAAATAAAGGCAGTGTCTCAAACCAAGTATATTAAATAATCAGTTGAACTTTGAACATGTTTTCAAATAAATGTAAGTCATGGATGTTATGAATAATATTTTATAGCTTTCCAGACATTTATGCAAAAAGACAATGTAGTTCACAAGAATGAAAATTCCAGCATGAATTCCGTGCCCAATTGCAGATTTGAACGGATATGCCTCTGTATGTGGAAATATCATCAGAATTATTTGGTTACCAGTGTAAAGATGTTATGTGGGCTTCTCATAGACCAGAATTGTTACCGTGTGCATTAATACAGGTGATCTATAGCAGAGTGTGAATACTACATTAAAGAGAATACATGAGAGGTTCATGTGCTAAAATATTTCTGCAGAAACCATTCAGTGACTAATCAAAACTAGCACTTTCTTAACCTTTCAATGCTTGCTCTTGCATGTGTCTCAGTCCTTGAAATAAATAGCTTGCTGCGCATAGTTCAAAAGCATGCATATGCACATATATCAGTATGTAAAAAATACTGTTTAGAAACATGTTTGTGATTCATGAGTTAGAAGTGGGGAGCACAGCTAAAACTCTAGCTCCTCTAGCTAAAGTAGATAGTTTTATTACCGTAGAAATGATAACTGCATCTCTAGATACATCTTGTTAAAGCGTATTTTATAATAGTTCTTAAATCAATATAATTTAGTATTTTATGTTGCTTAATATTGATAAAATAAACCTAGACATGTAAGGAGAAGTGGGGATGAAGAAGAATATGTTATGTATACATCTTTATGTATTAACGGAAACCCAGGTGGTAGAAACATTTAATCTCTTAATTCAATTTTAAATTGGGAAAATAATAACATCAAAGAAAAATCTCTCAGGCACTTGGTTTCATACAAATTAATAGGGCTTTTTAATCTGCTGTTTAATTTATTTCCCCTTCAATTAATTTTTTTTTTTAGGTAATAAGGAGAATATCTGGATGCATATTGATGCAGCCTATGCTGGGAGTGCATTCATTTGCCCTGAATTCAGGCATCTCTTAAACGGAGTGGAGGTGAACTAAGTGTTTCTTCTATAGCAGCCTGCTAAACCCTTGCTTTTCTATAGAATTTGTGTGTTTCTTGTGCATCCAACATTAATGGCTCTTCTAGAATCTCTGAGTACGCTGCACTTCAGTTTGCACTACAAATCCCTGTATATTCTATTACATGACGTATGTTTATATAATTCTTTCTGGTTTATTCTGGGAATATGCAAGTTACCACAATATGTAAAAGTTTGTCATTCAAAATAGCAAGTAGTAATGAATCAACAAAGTGTCTTACAAAATAGAAAAGAGGGACTTTTCCCCAAATATCCAAAAAGGCATATCTATATCACCCTAATTCTACATTACACAAAAAAAAATTAAAAAAAGTTCAACAAATTATTGAGCTTATTATGTCTCATTTTTTGCTTACATCCTGAAAGTCATATAGGATACAACCAGTAGCTGTATCTCAAACAGACAGGGTTTAATAACCAAGAGAGCTAAATGAAATATTCCTCTAACAGCACTCCTATTCCTTTCCTCCCCCCCCTTGCTGAGCTACTTGGCATTCAGTTGCTTAGATAAGAATACTTCAATTTCCTGCTGCACCCCTCAGACAGTCAGATAAGTCCTTGTCTTCCATGTCAGTGGAGAAAATATTACTGTTTGGTAAAGCCAGAAGTTTAAACACAGCACTGATAGGTAGTGACTAATGAAGAAGAGGAGGGAAACCCCCCTAACAAATAAAGCATTTCTTTCTGTCTCTTTTTTATCAGCAAATGAAGCTTGTTGTAATTTCCTGTGGGGGAATATTTTTTAAATTATTGTTATTGGTTCCTGAAGGAAATGAAACAGCGTACCTTGTCTGGGCCAGCATTTGTCATAAAAGTAAATATTTAACAACCGTGAATAGGTTTCTTACCTTACATAGTACAGGGAGACAGCTAGATAGATGTATAGATAGACAGACAGACAGATAACCTCCTTTTATGAGAGCAATTGTTAATTGTTTACAAGTGACAGGGAAAGTTATGAGAGGCAAATGAGAAGAGAAAAGTGCTATCTGGAGTAGTCAGACCCTGGTGCTGCTAGGCCCCCATTTCTCTTTTTTAAGGCCGATTGCTTCTGCCTTTGTTAACACACAAAACACGGACAAAGCCTTTCCCTCACGACGTCCGTCTCACCTCCCTGGGTTTCCTCTGATGCCACACCTAAACATATGTCAAGTAAAATGGGCCTGTTACATGATTTATAGAAACATGTTTTGTGAACGCTTATTCTGTGCTGGTTTTTCTTTTGACTTAGATGAAAAAATGGCTTCTGCTAAAAGAAAATACCCTGGCAGTAAAAAAAAGTCATTTCCTGGTCAGCTGTAATTTAATGAATGACTGTGATAGGCAGATTCTGAACTTAGTATATTATTTGTCTCTATGTATGAATGTTGTCTGTATATGTTTAGTATTATTGGAAATAAAAAGCTTAGTAAATTGTTATTGGAAATTGGGATATGAACCACAGTGGATGTTCCTGAGTACGCAGATTTTTTTTAGTTTACACTGAGATATATACTTTTCCATAACATATCTATCTAAAAAGTATAATTGTTAGCAAATGCTCAAATTGTTGATAATACCAATAGCCTAAATGCACACCTAACCTGAATTCCATCCCCCAAATAAATGAAGATTTAACCGCAATAGTTACTAAGTAAGGTGACGTCAGCATGAACGTTATCTGTAAAGCCCCACTTCAGGAATTCATTCATGGTTAAGGTGTACTCAGACAATTTGACAAAGTTGTATCATTAGCACATGGTTCTTTTTCTCTTTCATAATTCTGTTTTTTATTTATCCATTCTCAGTTTGCAGATTCATTTAACTTTAATCCTCACAAATGGCTCCTAGTGAATTTTGACTGCTCTGCTATGTGGTAAGTATTACAGTGAAAGAAAACATTATAAGAGGCAAAAATCATATGTTAAATTAGTCTGCCTTTCTAGCAGTAGACATTTATTTACATTTCTCTAATGAAATGAGGAATTCTGGATAGCTTTAACTCTTATAAATTATTTACAAAATTCACTCTTTCATTTATCCAGGTTTCAAAAAAGTAAAATTTAGAAAAAGATCTGGGCTCTGCATTATGTTCCAGAGAGAGAGAAATCCTGAAAAGTCTGCAGATTCCTACTTGCTCTATTTTGGCACTGTTTAAAACAAAAATGAAAAAAAACTTCATTTAAGGATGTTAATGCAATGAACAGCATGCTAAACAGAGCTTTTTCTTCTTTTCCATTTCTTTTTGTTTGAGCCTTGATTCTTTCAAAAGCCTTTCTCGAAATGCTTGGGATTTGGCTGATGAAAAGCAATTGTTTTCAAAAAGGATTATTTGTGCAATTTTGTACTGATTTTCAATTTCCCCAGGTGAGAGTAGAGACAACATTTTGATATAAAAATATGCCGAAGTAGAAACCAGTAGACATACTTTGAAAGACAGTATGATAGCAGTAATAATAGCAGTAATAATAACATCCCATAACAGATGATCCTACTGTGTCCCAAACTGAAGTTTCCAGAACCTAGTGTCTACCAGCATCATGACTAATGATACTTATTAGCAAAACAGGTATTCAGACTGTTTTATCAAAATACATGAAAACATTAATTTCAGTTATAGTAGAACAAAATTTGCAAAACTGAAAAGAGAAGGAAAAACTGAATGTTAAAAAGGAGACTCTAAAACATCCAGAAAAAGGTCACCTTATTTAAAAGAAGTAGTGAGACAGTGATGACTCGATTGCCTTTGGTTAACCTTAAGCTCTTTTAATATCCTTAGCAAAGTTCACTTTTCCACAAATACATATATTATTCAGATAATACATTACATTTTTTTTACTTTAATAGTTTTCCTGATATAAGTACTTCAAATACTCCAAGCCGTTATGTTTTTTTTTCTTTTCCTTAGAGTAAACAGCTTACATTTTGATCCTGATTCATCAGTAGTGGCAGGGATTAACTGAACATTCCAGTTCATAAGTACCTCATAACTAGCTGTCTCTCTCTGTATATGGCAATAGGAAGATGATGGAACTTCTTTGCTAGCAGTTTCTCCCATCTTTTCCTCATCACTCAAAGACATTGTTAGCCAAGTAGCCACTTGGAAATGAGAAAAGACCCCATCATTGTCTTTAATGTTTGTAAGACAATTAGGGGCCAGAGTGTAGTCCCTACCAGTTTTAATTTCTCATTAATTCTGCTTTCACTGAAAGCCTTGTGGAACTATGTTAGAAGTATTTTACCTGGCTTTCCAGGAAAACAAGGTATATACAATCACGCTGTGTGTCAGTTTACGTTCCCATCTCAGGTGATTTTAGCTTCTTCCTAGCAAAGCTTAGACTCTAGACTTAGGAAGGTACTTTTCTCCATTTTGTTTCTTGCTTTTTTTAGATAAGCCATTGCATAAAACGCATGTTTTCATAGGTAGGAAGATTCCATTACAAGCAATCTCAAGAGACCTTTCAACATGTCTCCTTCCTCAAAGCGAAAGCTTCACAACTATGTTCAGGCTTCTTTCACAACCATTCAGGCTTCATTTCAGCAAGGCATCTATGCTGTTACTCACTTAAGAAAGAATACAGTATACATTTAAAGTTAAGCTCTTTGACTTGAAGCCAGATCTATTGTCCAACTACTTCTGAGGCCCCCGTCCAAAATTCACCTCTCTTATCAACTGTAATACAGTTTGAAAAGGTGAAATGGAATTACAAAGGATGAAGGAACCTGGCCAGAAAAAGTAACTGTGAAGGATACATAGTCCTCTTAGGATCCATGGGAAGTATTAACCATGATATTGTAATAATATGGAAAGGGTTCAATAAAGAGTGAACACTATTTCAGAATCAAATTAAGCTGAGTTCCATTGACAGACAGGCTTCTAAATCACCCACATTCCTCAGCACTTTCCCCAGTAAACACTGCCATTTATTTTCCCTGCAAGTTGATTAAGATAATCTAGCCATTAGATCTGTAATGTCATTATTTAACTACTCGGTGCAATGTGTAGCACTGATGTCATTTGGGATTTGGAGGCAATTTCATTATAAACCTTTTGTAAAATATTCTCAGACTTCTTGAGGTACAGCAAAGAACAGTCAATTTCCTATAAAAAGGAATTTAATGCATCTACTCAAGAGGGAGATGCTAGGGCCCTTTAGAGACTTTGCCTTGAAACTGCCAGTGAGTTTTGCCTGGTAGTTTAGTAAACTAAATTCTAGTTTATCAGTGGTATTTTTGAAATATATATTTGTGATCCTTCAGTCAACCAGGGTATTTGCAAAGAAAGTTAAGAACACCACTTCTGTCCATTACCAGACCACACAAGCACTCACTGCAAAAAAGTTTAAATACATAGGGTGAAATCTAGACATGGTGTGTAGAGGTACAACTCAACTGGTTCATATACATTGATGTCCAGGCTTTGGATTTATTTTGGTAATCCTTTTAGATAGTTTTTCATGGTTGCCAGATTAAGACCTGTGAAGTCCTCAGATGGAACAGACACCATCTTTTAAAAAAGCAGTAACATCACTGAGGAAGTGCAAGATGACAGTGTTTTTATAGCTTCTAAGCGACCAGATGTTTCCTGCAGAATACTTACGTGTTCCATTGTTTAGCACAGCGTATTACAGGAGAAGGAATGAAGCTCTCACAAGACAACTGATAATACTACTTGTAACTTGGGTTACTTGCATATGGAACGAGCTACTGAAACACGAATATATCAAAGTAATCAAATGTATCAAATAAACTACAGTAGAACAACTTAGGATTTGTTCACAATATCTACCCTCATTAAACCTGCTTTCAGTTAATAGTTTCTTCCTTCTGTCCACAGGATATTTTCAACACACAAACGGATTATTAATTGTTTTTATTGAGAGTATTCTGAATGTCTTTTACTATTTTTCATGTACATAAGCTTACTTATCTTCAGCTATGTTCTTTCCATACCTGAAGGCAAGTACTTTGTTAACCTTGGTATTATCCTGACCATTAAAATGAGAGAAGGGCTTTTTGTTTGTTTGAATAAGATGTTTCATGAGCATAGCCTAGATGTGGATGAGACTGGGAGTATGTACGGGCCTGTGCATTTATACATACACGCTAAAATATTGGAAATTTGATTTTGATTTAGAATTTTGCATTAAAACATTAAAAAAAATTAAAAAAAGGGATGCGCAGAAAATCATAAAAGGTTTAGACTTTTGTCATTTAGAGTGTCCCCATGTTGACGTAATTATTGCTTACTTTGTGAAATATTTATAGGCCTAATATAATTATGTAGCAGTCTCTCTCTTTTTGATTTCTGGTTTCTTCTTTTTCTGCCTCTATAAACCCCATCACTTGTAGAGGTGAGTCAATCTCACACATAGAGAGAAGCATAAACCAACAACATCTTGTTATTACCCACTGGCAAAATGTAGTTTATTCTCTCTAGAAGGGACACATTGGCTTTTGAACCTCAGTCCAGTTCCACCACCCACTAGCTGGCAATAGTAAGGTACGCTCCCCAGTTTTACGTTGTGCTGTAGTATGTCTGTCAGTAATTGTATATCGGATCCAGCTAAGGGCAGGGTGGTAGAAGAGGGAAGGCTGAGTCTGGACCGGGTGGCTCATCCCTACCGGTGGCTGCTGCTGCCACCACCGCAGCGTGAAGAGGCAGTGGCCACCATCCACAAAGCCTCAGCATGGCTGTGCACGGCATCTAGGAAGCCACAGCTCTTCCCACACAGCTTTGTACTGCAGTAATTTCGAGGCAACTTCTGTTGACTGCAAACATTAACATTGCTTTAGCTAGTCTCACATTCTGGTGTGAGTGTCTATCACCATAAAAAGATCCTCTGTGTCTGTTTCTTGTCTGTTTTTAAATATGCAGTCGTGCAGTCATGCTGCCCGTTCCTGCTTCCTGCTGAGCCTTACACTTAACTACGTGTAAGTACAGTACTGATATGGCTGTGAAAAAGCACTGAAAATGGCACAGACTGTGCTCAGGAAATACGCCAGTTTAAACACATTCAGTTTGCCTTCATTTCTTGTGGAAATTTAATCCCTTAAATGTTAATTCTTAAGTTTCCCGATTTTATTTCTTTTTTTTTTTTTATACAGGGTGAAAAAAAGATCAGATTTAACAGGTGCCTTTAAATTGGAACCTCTTTACCTGCAGCATCACCATCAGGAGTCTGGTAATTTTATAATTAAATTAGATTATTGTTATTTTATTTGCATACTGATATTTAATGGGAAAAAGGATTTAAGATGAAAACTGAAATTCTTAAAACTACCTAAGTTGTTTAGGAGCCTATTTCCATTTTCAAAGTGCCTCAGGGAGATAAGCTTGTTAAAGTTCAAACACATATATAGTGAGATTTTAGTTAATGTAAAAAGCAATTGATGGAAAGCCATTTTATAAAGCATTATATTAATACTTTTGTATTGGGATTTCCCCAGCTCCAGAGTTACCACTGACTCTTTGTAGGAGTGTTGAGAAAATTCTTAATGATCTTTTGGTAGTCAGATAAACATATTGGGTGCTGTGTATCAAGTCCCTTAACCTGCCTTCCCCAGCATATCTTTCTCCAGAAGGGTTTCAAGATCTGATTTGTTTTGGGGGTTTCTGAAGTCTGTGACCTTTTTTCTTAGCTACGCATGCAAGCTCTGATTCAGATTTTCAAATACCCGTGTCAGGAGCAAACACTCCCTGAAACCACAAAGAAAAGGTGAGCTGTGTTTGATATCTGTGCTCCGTTTTGAATGATAGCTATCTGGGACGTTACCCTGTTGCTCCCACGTTCTTACATTGATTGCAGAGAAGGAGGCAAGTGCAGGCTATCTATCGGTCTTGTACAAAATGCTCATGAAAGCTCTTCACAGAACGCTCACAAAAAACTTACAGATCATAGGCCCTGTACAAAGCTCCTTAATGGATTAGTGCTGCTTCTTTCACATACCTAGCAACTGCAGAGGGTCATTTGCCATCCTGAAGCCTGTTTTTACGTATTCAGTTAATAAGCGATTAATTGTGAAGAAGGTCACAGCAGTGCAGTGTCAACATGTGGCCCAAGTTCCCTCATAACTTTCTTGAGGGGGAATCACATGTGGTTGTTCTTACTATTAACTGTCTCTCATATTTTTCTTGGAATTGCTGGTGCTGATCTGTGTTCAGAAGCGTATCCTGAGTACTTCGCTCTTCTCTCTGTTACGACATTTAAATTAATACCATCCAGAATGCCACCATTCACTAAAAAGCCCTAGGAAAAACAGATTCCGGGGCCTTAATCCCGACTGGCAGAAATTTTGCATTTATTCCTTTTCTACATTTCCAAGCAATGCAAATATAGAACAGTGCAGTAAACAGGAAAATGCAGTAACTCTGGAGCTGAGGTTCACTCTTCAAAGGCTAGAATTTTTAAGAAAAAATATATACTGGGTTTTTTTCCTTTTTTACTGAAAAATACAAGTTATGGCAAATATACTTACACCACTAGCTTTTACTTAACCACGACATTGACATACATGAAAAATGCTTATCTTGAGGAGAAATAATACAACCTTAACTAAAGTGAAATTATGTCCTTGTGATAACTGACAGTGCTGATACAAGAACCTTAGGTTTTCGCCAGGTTAAATAATACCATAAGAAAATCAGACCTTTCCTAAAACTAGGTGCTCTCAGTGAGGCTGCCTAGTTGACCAGAAAACTTTATCTCCCCAATTGGATAAGAAGTTGTTCAGCTTTCGTCTTGCCTTCAGAAGCTGTGATAGTATGTTATGTGATGTGGACATAATGATTCCAAATAGATCAGCTGATTACTAGAGGTCTAGTGATGCTAAATTTTTATATGCTCTATTCCCATTTGATACCAATTTTCCAAAGAGTTGGACAAAACTTTTCAAATGCAAATGCTTCTAGTTAAACTGTTAAATCCAATCCATGCTTATGCCTTCAACAAAAATAGTCAAATTTGCAAAGGTGCTACGCTGTTACAGCCCCTAATGATTCCTGTGTGATTTAAAGGATGTCAGCAGTCCTGGAAATGAGGGTCTTATTTTCTGAGTATGTCTCAGGTCTGAGAATTCCCATCATGGTTTACAAGGCAAAGGAAGTAGCATTTTTGAATTCGTTCATCTCTCACTCAAGAATTTAAATGAGCGGAAAAATATATCTATCTGTGAGCAATTACTCTTAATAACCATATGGCAATTATGTGTGCCCCCAAGGGGCAAATCTTTATTTTGTCATTAATTATAATTTTACGTGATTTGCATCATCACACCAGGAAGATTATACCAGCTTGCCTGGCAACCCAGGATATAGGTCAAACCCTAATGGCAGTGTTAGAAGAATGCAGCTTTATACTCTATTGTGAATGCCACATATGCTCCCACAATGCAATTCCTCCTGGTTAAATACAGATGTAAGACTAAGGCTCGTAATCAAGGACTGATCATTGATTGCATTCTGCTTCACAGCTTGTGAAAGGCGTTGTTGTGGATCATTAGACATAGCTCCTTACAGGAGCGTAGGATTATTTATCTGTCACCAGTTGCTTTACTCTCTTTGCTACCAGTCTTGCAGCTATCAAACAAAAATGGCTGCTACAATGCAGAAGAAAGTGAATGTTATTAAATTACCTCATTACTGAGCTGAGACAACCATGTTTGTTTCCTGAAGTCCAGGAACAGGTTAATGATTATTGTTTGTTGCGTGGGTTGTTTTTTTTTTTACATCTGGAAAATAACCTAGTAACAGGTTAAAGAACCAAATGGCTGTATGTTGCAGGGAGGAAGGACCATGTGTTTTCTTGTGTTTTGGCTGCACAGATGAGAGAACACTGGCAAAAGAGCTTGTACCACAGGAAATACAGTCTTTTTACCCCCAGAAAATACAAAGGCTGAGAATTACATAAATGACGTCAACTGGTCAAATTCAGAAGCTGCAGTTCTGTATAGTACCATGTGGTTCATAATTCCAGGAACACTTAGACAGCACTTTACCTTAGAATTTAATTACATACTTTCCTATGAAGCGTATGCTCCACTGCAGAATAAGAAAGCAGAATAAGAAAGCTAAGCAGATGCTTCCACATTTTCCAAAAGAAGTGCTTTAGATTTTAGGTCAGTTTAATTTCTGGCACTGGCTTACTGCAACTAATCCAGCTTTATGTTAGTTTCCTTCACTGTGAAATCAATGTAATTACCCGATTCAAAGAAAAGGTAGATGCATCTTGACTCAGTGTGCTCATGTAAAAGGTAACTAATAATGCCCTCTACTTGCCGCTCTGGACTGCTTTGTGGCTTGGTCAATCTGTGTTTGTAAGGGGCATTCACTACATCGAATGAAAAGCCATTAAAAAAAAGGGAGAATGCTATTCTCCAAACAGGAAGAGGTCAATTCTGAATCAAGTCACTTATTGGACATGCTGAACAATTAGCAACAAATATAGGAATGAGTATAAAAGGTAAGTAGAAGCAGAGAATGAATGATGAAGTTAGTTTAGCGATTCTGCAAACTGTTTCAAACAAAATTAATAATAGCCATTTTATCTACTACTTGTTTTCCTTACAAGAGGAAAATAAACACAGTATTTAGTCCATCATCTTCACAGGATCTGAAGCATAACAGAATGGAAAATTGTGTTTCTTTTCCTGAAAGCTGTTTGTTAGTGGTATATTCTGACTAGCTAAGGAATGAAGCTTACTACAAGCACCTTCATTCAGCGTGCTGCCAAGTATCCTACTAGGTATTTAGTGGTCCTGTTGACACTGATGATGCTGAAGTTTGTAGCAAACATAAAGGATAGCTAAAACACAGCTTTTTCAATAGCATTAAAATGATTGTATGTTTTGGCTGTTGTGACGAAGCAACGTGAACATTTTTTCTTTAACTTCCAGGTCTCGTAACAGATTATCGGGTAAGTACAGCATCAGTGTAATAACTAATACTTTTACTTGTATGCACCAATATTTCCAGGACTTTTATTTTCTATTACTACCGTAAACCTCAAAACCTTATGTCTTTTTCCAGGAAGGATGCAGCTGGCTAAATTTTTAACATTCCTCCAGCTGAAAGTTTAGACTCTATTTTTTTGAAAAAAATTGTTTAAAAGCAGAAATCATCTTGCATGTGTAATATCTCAAGGTTTAGGCAGTAGAATGAAATGTCCTAAAGATTTTTTTCCTTAACATAGTGAATAATATATTTTTTTAAATGCATTTGTGTTTTAACCTTTAACCGATAGAAACACTGTTGTTTTGAAATGGAAAACGGGCCTGTCATTGTAGCTGCTATCCCCACAACTGTAAGCAAGTCAGCGTACACAAGCTTCTAAGGTATTTATTTTTCCAAAGCGTTCAATGAGAATTCAGGATGAACAAAGAAAATTTCATTTGCCGTGTGACCCTTCCATTCTGATACTAGTCTCCTTTTCCAATTTTCATTTGAAAATTTTCAGTCTTAAACAGTCACATTAGGGCATTAACCAGAAAGAGACATTTTTATTATCATTTGATCCACCTCTGGCAACTGCCTGGAGGATGTGGCAATGCGGTATGCTTCAAAAGCATTGCAGAATGTACAGTTTCTGCAGTATCACTGCAACAGTGACTTCTAACATGGGTGCCCTCCCTTCTCCCTGGCTTGCAGCACTGGCAAATCCCCCTGGGGAGGAGGTTCCGCTCCCTGAAGCTCTGGTTCGTGCTGAGGATGTACGGGGTCACGGGACTGCAGGAGCACATCCGCAAGGTGACTGGAATTTGCTTTCTTGGGTAACCTGTGGTGGGATGGCAAGGGAAAATAAGCTTGCTACCTATCTCCTCTCCATGACTTCTGTACACAACAGAAAGCACAGACAACAGGTTTTGGACAGCTGGGCTCAGTAGGGGTACTGCTGGTTTGCCCCATGTAGTATCACAGTTTCATATCACAGCAGGATCGAAACTGTCATCTGTTTTGTGTTAATCTTTAGAGAAGACAAGTCTAGGAATTTGGAATGTCTACAATGTGGCATCGTAGTTCCCTCTGAAATTAAGCCTGAGCACATTAATGGTTTTATTGGGGAAAAAACATGTTTATTCATGACTTCTTTATTTTATTAATGTGCATGCATTGATAGCATGTTTAGGTTATGATCTGCATTTATGATACAGTAACTTACTGGGCATGTCTACCTCTGCTGTTTCTTTGTTTCCCGTTTAAAGTCCACTTTTTTTAAAAAAAAAAAGGATGCGTACAATTTACAGTTTGTTAACATTGTTATGAGTAAGTATTAAGTTTACTCTTGATGTAAAAAGATGGGGGTTTTATAACTAAAAAACACACCTGATGCCAGTCTAAATTACATCTATACTTCCTCTGTAGCAGTAAAGCCAAATTCATGCATACCTTTCATCTTTATGAAGTTTAGGGAAAGTTCTCATGAGGGGAGATCCATGACTTGGCTCTAAATATTTACAAAAATATCCATTAGCTAAGAGTCTGGTCTAGTGTACCAAACTCTTTGCAGACACACGTTCCTTTCTGTTGTGGTACTAAACAGATTAATTCTTATGAAAGGCTTTTTCCACTGCTGTAAAATCGTTGCATGAATACATCTCTTTCAATCTGAAAAGGTTCTGGGATGGAGCATACCCTCTTTGTTTCTCATTTTTATCACACTATAATTTTCATCTGACTATACAGGTATCTGAATTGGATTTTTATCCTTAATGAGGCTTTCAGAAATAAATTTTGACAACAGTGGCAATCCTGATGTTCTGCCATCCTTGTGGCAATCTGATACATACCCTTCTGATGAAAAATTGGTACGAGGTTTGTTATCATTTTACTGGGCTCCCGTTACAGTTTCTTGTGGGTTTCTCTCTCGGGTTATATTTCTGGAGACTGCAAGTATTTTAATATGATGCCAAGTTTTTAAGTAGGGCTAAATCTCTCACTGGGAAAATAGAGGGTTGGAAACCCCATATTAATTACCTGATCTTTTATCAGGCTGATTTCCACAGGTCAGTATTTACATTTCACAAGATCCCTCTGTCCCTGTTTCCCAGATGTTTCCCTGAGTGTCCAGCCAAAAAAACGCTTGTCTTGCTATAATCATAGCTGAATACCGTTTTTTTTTATACTTTCTGTGATAACAGAGTTCAGGAGGGCTAAGCAAATCAATCTTTTCTTAAAGATACTGACTCCAAAGTAAAACTCTAATATGTTCCCTTATTTGCAAAAGTAATTCAGTCAGCTACATTTCCAAGGGCTTGTTGAATTGAGTGTGTATGTTTAATATTTCAGTAAGGACTAAAGTGTTCCCTGGTGTACAGAGAAAAATAAGTTATGAGCTTATGTTTGCAGCTTTGAAAGGGTAAGAGGGGTAATTAAGTGCAGAATTTGGGTCACTGTATACATCTGTCAAACTGGAACCATTACGTTAGTTTCTGCTCACACTGCCCCCCCCCCCAACTCCTCACCCAGAAGAGTGATGATTAAATTCAGTGGGTTCCAAAGCAGCTTTAAAAGAAAGTCAATTCTCTCTCCAGAAGTTCTCTGTTGAACTTATATTTCAAGAAATAATTGCATTTAATTTGCTCCCTCCTCTAGCAGTATTTAAGGTATCTCTTGCAAGTTTGCAGACATGTTGGTAAAGTTATATCAATAGTTGCAAAATAACATTTTAAAATGTTTTTTGTATCTTCCCCATTTTCCTTTCTTCTCAGGAATTATGCTTGGTTCCAGATTTATTGTGATGACTCTTCTTTTGGTAGTGTAGTAATGAAGTATGTAAACCAGCCTGACACTGGTTTGTATTTTCAAACCTCTAGGCAAGTTTCTGAACAAAAAGTAATTTGGAACTTAACTTTACTTGTTAACTTCACTTTAACATTGCTTATCCCAGTGCTTGGCCTTGAAAAGTTACTTTCTTTTACATGTCATAGCATCTTGCAAAAACCAGCTTCTATATTCCCATTGCTGGCAAAGGCAGTCCTTGAAGTGAATAGCTGGTACTGTGTCTTGTGTACTTGGGACTTCTGGCTGTGTTTTAAGCGAAGCCCTGAAGTTGCCAGAATTATTTCTGAAGCTGCATTTATTACAGCGGGTCATAGAGCGGACATAGGTAGAATGAGAAGAGACCTGCAGAAGCAGGTATTGCAGCCTTCAAGTGGAGAGCCAGAGTGGCTGGAGCTGGGGAAGCAAGAAGTGCTGGCTCTCTGTTGAGTAATTAAGGAGTAGCCCCAGGGAAAGGGCCAGACACACAGAGTCAGGCAAGAGGGCAGAGGTTTGAAACAGCTCCTTGGGCGGGAACCTGCAGAAGGGGACGCCTACCTTTGGGATGTAGCATGCAGTCGTACAACATGTAGTTTTCATACATATCTGTGCATGGGGCATGTCATTCCTATTCATGCTATGCTACAGCAGCTAAGGCATGTCTGTTCAGGTGCAGGGCTGGGCTGTGCAGAGAGATTTGGGACCCAGGGTTTCAATTGCTTTCTGACTTTATACAAATCCCAATATAGATGCTGTGATCACCTGGAGAAAAAAAAAAAAAAAAAGACACTTCAGCTCCTAAGTCATAGAAAACTGTAGGAAGATTTGTCCGGTGTTTTTAGACTTCTAGTTAGACTTCTTTTGTACAGCCAGGTGTTACTTAACAAAGTGATTTGATATTTTCAGCACTGATGAGCTTCTGATATAATATAGAGGGAAAAAACATTGCACATCCTTAAGAAGCCACCCCATTTGCTGTGTGATTAGCAAGCTTCTATATGGAAGACCAAAGATATCTGCAACTGTCTCTTCACAAACTTTTTTTTTCTGTATGTAAACTGACACAAAAAACCATTTGCCTCTTTCTTTCTTTTCTTTTTTCTTTTTTCTTTTTTCTTTTTTTTTTTTCTCTTTTAGTAGTATGTTTTAAAAAGATGTTTGTTATGTTTGCAGCCTTAAGGTCTGCATCAAAACGACTAGATAGCCACTGCAACCTGGCATTTGCTTGTACTGAGGAAGGCATTCAGGAACTAAAATATTCCTGTGAGATGAGAATGTGTGACTTGGATTTAGATACAATAACTTCTTTTGTTTTCCAAACCTTCCAGCTATGCACTCCTTTCCCATACAACATGTAATATTAACCTATTGCAAAGTACAGGTTTTAAAGCAGTGGTAAAGGGGGAGACAGTCATCTATGAAGGATGTGGGGAGAGAAAAATACAAATTTTGGAGGTAAGTCCCAAAGCTGCAGAGAAGATGTACAAAGAGCGCAAAACCAACAACAATAATAGTCTTCTGGACTGATTCCAAACACTCAGAGTCAGTATAAATGTGAAACCTACATGGCCTGTTTGTAAAATGGCCCATTTGCAAACTTCTGCACCATATATTACTCATTTGTCGGTTTAAGTCCTCTCAACGAGCTCAGAAGTAATTTGAGAAATATAGCAGTTAATGGTTTTGTATGTGATGCCCATGAATATTTGGACTTGGATGAATCCTCCATAGGACCAGAAGAAATTGGTGTACTGCACATCCTTCTTTCTTCACCCGGGATAATGAATTCCATTCTTTCTTTGCCCAGGATAATGAACTGTACAGAACAGCAATGCCAGAGATGGCGTTTCAACTGGGGAGGGGCACAGTCCCAGTGGCTGTTGAGAAGACTCTTTTGACAGCATTTTCCTTCAGAGTCTAGCGGGATGCGGGGTAAGGCAGGCAGAGAGGTGAAATCTATAGGAGGAAAAGTATGAAGTGATCAAGGCTAGGCAGATATGCTTATTTGCATATACACATTAATGTACTCTGATGCTTCAGAAAAACACCCTTCAATCAAAGACTATTTTAGCTCTTGAAGGCTTTGCCCAAAAATCAAAATTCAGTTGAAACACCTCAATGCAGGAGCCTTTATACCTATACTTTTATTTATTTATACTTATATTCACACATACACAAATACAGATTTTTTAAAATAGGGACCACATCTTAATGCCTCACAAGTTTACTGCTCCCATTAGCGATTATGTAAGATATTTCCCTTAATCCTGAATAACCAAATTATTTAGATCCCCTTCTTTTTTCCCTTCTCACTGCAGAAGAGCAACGGTTATTTATCTGAGATAGATAGTGATACACAGAAATTCCTTACAAGCTTCGCTTCTTCAATCTGCTAAATTTCACTGTGATGAGGAGGACTGGTGTTCTGTTCCTACATACCAAGACTTTTCAGGCCACTAACGCAGTCCATGTGATTCCACTTTGGGATCCCACCTGATAAAGGGATTGTCCAAATGCTATTGCTAGAAACAGTATGTGAGGTGGTTTGTGTGCGTCCACTTTTTTTTTGGTCAAATTACGCAACAGCGTTAAATAATTTTTAAAGGTTCAATAATATTTGAATGTCAGCTTTAAGTTAATGGTGCTAGTGACACAGCATGATACAAATGTCAAAAGCAAAAGTATTTGGAGGGTTAAAATACCCATAGGTCAGGCTTGGTATGTACACATTCAGCAGAAAACTGAGAACAGCTTGTCAGTTTTTACCTCTCCTTCTTTCCTATCCTTAATTTCAGTGCCTGTGGTTCTCCAAACGGGACTTTATTTTCACAGTTTACCTGCCTGTCTTGAAAAGTTGAAGCACTAAAGCCACACGTGTTCCTCTGTGAGTTATTGGCATGCTCACGTCCAGAGTCTGGGTACAGCTCTTGGACTCACAGCGGCAGGTGTGGTACCTAAAAGCCCTTTGGTTTTACAGAGTTTGAACTTCCAGACTAAATAATGTTTAACTTTATTGGGTTTAATTACGTTTGGTTGCAACAATCTTTGTAAAAGCAATTCAGAATAATAGCTTGTGGTTCAAAGGTGCAGGGCCTGGGGTAATTGTGTTAAGCAAAGCTCTACAGGTGACACCAGTTAAATCTCCACTTTCTCTCCTTCCAGTGCTGTAAAATCTTGGTGCACTTGGTGCCCCCCAGTGGCTTTACAAATTATTGCTACTTGTTAAGACTCACTATGGATAAAAATACTTGCGTCCAGACAAGAATACAAAATACTTCCAGAATTTTGATTTGTGTTTTACTGAATAACCTCTGTTTTTCCATGCTTTTATTTCTTTGCCATTCCTGAAAAAACCTTTAGTGCAAAGAGTGAGACATAAATAAATAAAGAGACATAAAGAAACATAAATACCATGTACAGCATAGGTTCCAAATTTTCTTGTACAAACTACTCACAGTAAGCCAAACCTTAAATTTTTGTTTTATTCAGTTCTTACCCAGGTAGATTTTGATTAAATTCAGTGGGTGATTACATTCAGCTGAACGGTTGTGCAATTCTCATTGAACGAGATTTTTTTTATGGCTTTGATTTCCAAGACCTAGTATATGCAGTGTGAAATTTTGTGCAGCTGTGTAAAAGACATCAGTTTGGTTAAGGCTATAGAACATGAGAATAGGAGGCGACAGTAAAAGATCATTACAACATGTGTGCATATTTCACATACGTTTTCCATGCACTTATGCATACAAGTATCTGTATGTATACACATACTTCTGGTCAATTTTCATAGCTGTAAACCCATGCTGTTTATATTAGCAGAACATTCAAATGACTTGGAAATAACTGAGCATTTTATTGGTCTCATTCCTGACTCAAAGAGCTTTTGGTTTAATTTTAGAGGGAGATGATAAATGGATGTAACAAACAGCAGAGAGGAAGTGGTAACAACAGCAAGATTGGCCGGTTGCATAGGGTACCAGTATGCCCAATATGAAGGTTTTGAATCAATGTTTTGCTTCAAAATAAACAATGTTTTTCTATTTTAAGAAATAAACATCAGAAAGCTATGATTAAGATTGCAAAATGTGTTTTCTTTTTTCTTTTTTTTTTTTTCTTTTCTGTAATTTCTGTTTTGCCTTGTTCTTGCCCTTTTGGGAACAGTTCCTATGAAATGAAACATTCCACATCTAACTCTGGCCCAAAGTGAAATGTTTCATTTTTGTTTGATATCTGTCCTTGAACTTGCAAAAAGGCAAAGTGCAAAAGGAGGAAAAAGACATGGTCTCAGCTGTTTGTTTTTATAAAACTATTTGCAGTTATAAATATATAAAAGCTAAGGAACTTTTAAACATCATTTTAGATGTTGCTGATACTTTTTGATGTGGACTGGCTATTGCATGAAGACAAACTGTAATTTTAATAGCTGGTTGCTGCTGTTACTTTTTTTGTTTTTAGCATAGTGACCACTAAACTGATGATAGCCGGTGAGAGGGGGACTGGATAAGGTACTGCAGGTGCTTGATGAGCATAGGGATTCTTTTTTTCAAAGTGCTTTTGAATTAATTTTCTGTTTGGGAAAAAGTGAAATGTGGTATGAGTATGCAAGCATCACTGACTGATGTTAAGACTTCCCAGCTGGTTGTTAGTATGCTAGTTGGTATTTTTTCTATTTGTTTGATTTTGTAAGAGCACTGGTTTCCTGCGCTTCAAAATAATTGCTCTGGCTTGGCGTCCAGTGTCACTTTTTTCCCCCCAGTAAGTTTTAAACAGGTTGGCTGAGGTTTGCTATCCCTTTTCTTGATTATACTGCCATCACCTTTCTTCTCAACTGAACCTAAGCACCCAGGTCAGAAGAGTGACCAAGTTCTGCCCTTCTTCACAGTTACTCTCCTATTAAGTGAACTCTTCTAAAAAGTGTATCTTTCCAGCTTATTCTGCATGGGAATTGTGATCATTTTCTCTCTATATAGCTGTGTATCTCCCTTTCCCCACAATAAGTTTTGGACTCTTTAGCCATTCTCAACCAAAACTGAGAGCAGTAGAAAACTTAAAGAAGAATTATTACAATTATTTACTATTAATCTGGTATCATGACAGTTATAAAACTATGCTGAAACATTTCATTAAGAAACAGACTAGTACTGCCTAAGATAGACTGAGCTACTAATATAGTAACAGCTCAATATGGTCTCTGAAAGTCAGAAATGGGATGTAAGTTAACATAAACAGATGGTGATATGTGAATATTATCACAGAAGAGGGAACGGAGAAAAAAAATTAGGGATGGAAACAATTTAGCACATCTTTTCTTGTGATGAATCAATAGATAATATCTTTCTCTTCTCAGCACGTCAGGCTGTCACATCAGTTTGAACACTTAGTCCTTCAGGATGAGAGATTTGAGATCTGTGCTGAGGTTGTCTTGGGACTAGTCTGTTTTCGGCTGAAGGTAAGGCAGATAAGACCTCCTATTTCTTCTGTCATGTTTTATAGCAGTATAATAACCCGCAATGGAATATAGTCTTAGTAGTTAATATACTTAATTATTTTTTAAGGAAACTAGTGGGAGTTCATGTAGACTAAAGCAGATTAAAAAAAGAAGGTTAAGATGATTTTGTCAAAACTTAATCAAATGCTTAAGATAAATTCAAGCATATTAGGGTACAGAAATATATAGTCAGGGAAAACAAATGGTCTTAGTCTACCCAGTCATACACAATTACTGTTATATTCTAAGTTTGATGGGCTTTGATTAAGATGAATGTTTTAATAGATTTTTGTAACTTTTCTATATGATGTGTGTGTGTGTGTGTGTATTAGATGTTTCTTGTCAACTTAATTTTATGTGTGTATAAATTGAATATACAATTATACATATATTTTTATGGATGAAGATTAGAATAGTAAACTTTTTTTCTTTAAAGAATACATTTTCATTTTTAAAATCCTTCAGTCAGACTGGGCAAATTGGGGCAAGATATGAGTAAGAAGAGGTTGCATAGGAGGCCAACTTCCCAACTGCCCTTGGTCTTGGTCTCCTTTTTTTTGCCGAACTTGACCCTTTTGCCCCTCTTGGTCTTTCATTCCCCAAAATGTCTAAAAGCACCAAATTCATTGACATAGAGACCTTGCCCGACAGAAACTAGAAAACTCACTCTGCACTCAGGGCATAAGAGCTGCAGTAGTTCGGAGGGTTCACTTGTCTCATCAGACATTACAAGGGGATCAATCTCCTGGTTTAGGTAAAGGACTCATTTAAGAGAGGAGCTTGCAACTAAAGCCTTCGTAAAGCACTGGATTGTGATGCTGAAGCTGAACACCAAGCAATATTAATAACAGCACTGGTGTTTTCTAGTTCACATGATACCTAAATCAGCTTTTAGCTTTTCTGAAGGCTCACAAGCACATCTTGTCTCCTTCTGAGTTTTTGGCCAGTGTGATATTACTACTTTTCACATTTTTTTTCCCAGTCATTCAGTTGCCTCAGTTACCTGAGTTTGATGCAGTTGGCTGAAGGAGCTAACGAATTTTTAACAATAGTGAATGGTGAATTCCTCTAGAATAGGAAAATGGTTTTGTTTGAATTTATGTTGTTTAAAATAAAAGAAAAAAATGTTCTGTTGCTAGGAGATCAGATAGGTTACAGAATGTGTAGTTTTTTCAATAAGTGGAAACATGCATATAATTTCTTTCCTAACAAAAACTTTTCAAAGAATTTGGGGAATAGGTTCTGTGGCTTTTATTGCTCAATAACACAATGTTGGTTGTAGTCTGCTCTCTCACATGGAACAAGCAAACACTAGTTTTGTAGATCCAGAGACAGCTGTTAGTCAGTGCTCTGCATTTACTTTGAAGGAACAGTCCTGGTGAAACAGAGTATAGCAACACAGGAGTTCTCACTTTTGATCAGACCAGTCATTCATCTACATCTGGTCTCCTGTCCCTGATGCTCCAGAAGAAGAAATCAGATCTACATGGAAAGACAATTTTACGATAAGATGTAAATATTGGACATCTAGCTAGGAAGCTTTTGAACGAGTTCTAGAATAAAGGCGTGATTCTGCTGAAAACCAATGTTGAAATAGCAGTGTTTTCATTGCTTGCCTTCTGTGTCCAAAAAAAGAAAACAAAACTAACAAGCTTGTAAATGAAGAGTATGTATTCTTGCAGCTTTATTTCCTTTTTAAATCACTCTTCCAAAAATCTTCCTGTGATTCTTCTAATTCGTAATAAAAAGCATCTTAGAAATAGAATACTTGAAACTTTTATGTAGTTACAGGAGGACTCAGGGACAGGGGACTTGAACTGTAATGCTGAACAGCTGTAAAAGTATGAAATATTTTTCCCTCCTTTGTTCTTGAGAAATCCTTTTTTATTTTTTTACTTAGCTGTAACTTCTATTTTTTTTGCCTTTCACACTGTTGAGCAGATGGACCAATCTACGACTTTCATATTATAACTATTTCATCAAATGTATTATGCCAAAGGGTTAATTTTTGGCCTCCTTGTCATGTCTGTGGTTGAATACAAGTCAAGCTAGTCATTTCTCCAAGGGGGCGAGAATACTGTCTTATTGAAGCTGACAGACTCGGAGCTGGCTGCTGGCTTCTCAAAGCTCTGGGAGAGGATTAGTCACTACTAACTTCAATTTGACTCGGCACCTGAGTGTCACAGCCACCCCTAGGTGCAGCCAGGAGAGTAGAACTGAAGAAAGATATATAAAACTTTCTCCTCCCTCCCATCACCCCTGCCAAGGACATTAACTTAACATCATATAACTGCTTGTATGGCCTAATAGTGCTGTGCAGTTCATATTAAAGGAAAGGATCATAATTTTAATGATGGATTGCCTTTGATAAGAAAGTAGTATATCATTGTCACCAGTGACTGACCCCTAGTGGGTGGGGACTTGCAAAACACCAAAGTTGGTCCTTTTCTTAGGAGCATTCAAGTTGCATAAATATCTCCTAGAAGACTAAGGCTAAGCTATGAATTTCAGGTTCTCATCCAAATTCCCTAACAACTTGTGCTAAGTCAGAACACAGTTTTGACTTGGGTTCAGTTCTAACTCTAATATGGTCCAAAACCATGAGAATAATACATTTATCCTCTGTGCCAATGGGAAACTGTTTCTCTCATGCTTTGTTTTGATGTGGAAAAGGCTAAGCAGGCAAGTCTGCGCAGATTTGAGAGAACATGTTTTCTGATACGGATAATTTCAAGAAGACCTATGCTGCTACAGTTAGAAAACCGCTGCTGAACAGATGGGTCTGTCCATTTGTGACTTTCACTGCAGTCAGTGTCCAGTAAGGGAACACTGCAGTAAAAGCGTAGATGCTCCTAGCATCTCTTGCAATTCTGTATTACCAGCAGTGTAACAGAAAGAGTAAAGGCTCTAAAATAGCTAAGATACTTCCCCAAAGAATAAAATCATAGCACCCAAGAACAACATGGTATATCCTAAGCTGTTACAGCAACCTGTCCAGCAAAGCTGAAGCCATCTCTTGGTCTGCTGCCATAAAAGTTAGACAGATGGGTTCCTTTAATTTGGGAAACAAAGACTGTCAAAGATATGCAGCTAGCATTGCATCCTGTCTTGCTAAATCAGACAAAAATCCCAAGATTTTTGGGATCCCTTCTTTCATTGTTTATATTTAAAGCAAATTACTACTGGTTTTGAAAATCTGATGAGATCTTTTGTTTTATTCTGAAATGGTGACAGACACGAACTAGGAAAATCATTGATTCAACATTAGCTGAACCTGTAAAAGAACCGGTACTCCCCCGTGCAGTCCTATTTCTTTTAAGATTTGGTAATAAGAGCATACAGCTGCTCTAAGGGAAATCCTCACATTCACTATTTGAGCACAAGGAGAATGAAGTACACTGGAAGGAGATAAAATTCAATACTGCATGCATGTAGAGTCCCTGTGACCTTCTCCAAGACATTTAACATTTATATCTTTGTTTCCCAGAATGCAGAAGACTGTTTACTTCCAGTGGGAGGATCAGTTTACCATATTTTTAAAATCCCCCCGCAAAAAAACCACTCTGTAGGATTCTGTGGCAGACACTTCCTATAGAACTTGAGACAAAGACTTTTTTAGGGTTTCTGCTGATAGTATGAAACTTACTTATGCCAGGGATACATTACTTTAACTATTTCTTAATTAAGGGTAAAATTTCCTTCTTCATAGTCAAAAGATTGTCTCACAGCAGCCGTGGTTAAGTGAAGACTGGAAGGTTTGTTTTACAAATGTTAGTATATATAGTTCATTGCAAAACTTCCTCCCACGTTTGTCTGATGAGATCTAAGAAAAACGTAATGAAATGGATGCAATAATGAATGCTTTTACATGAAGCTACATAGCCTCACGACCTTAGGTCACAAAAAAGCAGTCAGCTATCACAAATGCCCCAGTGTGAACACTGCTTCTAAACCCTAGTTAATCCATAAATCTCTTTGTGGCTGAAAAATTATCTCTTGCGCCGTCATCTTTTTGTAATCTTTTCATGGCAAAGCACTGAGAGATGAGAAAGTGGCTGTGTGTTACTGGTGGAGCTTGAGCTTGACTGCTTGGTGGGATTTACATGTTCCAAACTTGCTTCTGAAATTCATCACCATATCCGTTGATTTACAATTATTTCAGGGCTCAAATGAACTAAATAAGGCGCTTCTTAAAAGCATAAATGAGGCCAAGAAGATTCACCTGGTCCCATGCCACCTGCGAGAGAAGTTTGTACTACGTTTTGCTATTTGTTCCCGCACGGTGGAATCCACCCACATCAAGTTTGCCTGGCAGCACATCTCACAGCTGGCAACTGATCTTCTGAAAACATGGGAGCAAAACCACCACCAGCAGTAACAGCAGTGAAGTAGCAGTGCGGTGGAGGTAATTAACCGGCTTTTTCTGTGTTGCCAAGTTGTATTTTAGGGGCAGGTGGGAAAGTCAAATTATGAAGGAAAAAAATAAAAAAAACCCTGTTGTTATATAGCCCAGCTGCAGTAGCAAAATCCTTGCCAGCAAGTTGTGTGGTAACCTTAGTCATTCCTTATCTGTACCGTAGTTTCATCTCGTCTGTTTCCAGGATGCAATTAGCCATGGGGGCTCGAGCTGTCATTTCTTACCAGTTTGTAATCAAGCGCATTTATTGAAGCAGGCAATGGAAATGGAAGGGTTTGTGCTCCCTCCATTGTCCCCAGTAACCTCTAGCACACCCACTCCTTTCTTCACAGGTGAAACTGTGTTATAACCAATTAATTCAACATTACTATGACTTCAGAAAGACTCCAAGTTGGGGAAAGTTAAGTAACCTGGTTATGACACTGTTCACCCGTGCACAAATGCTGTCATGATTTGGGGCACTATCATGTCATGATACGCTTGCTGCAATAATTTTGTAAATGAAGTTAGGACTTCAAGACTTCCTTCATAACATCGGGGTGGAATGAGCACTAAATGAACGCTAACCGTCCTTGTGGCAGGTACTCTACTTCCTCCTAAAGGGTTTGCTTTTAAAACAGCCATTTTGTCAAATCTCAGCAAATCGGTTACACTGGCTAGTGGTTTTCACTTTGATCATTCATTATGAGGCCTCTTAAAAGCTCCTTCTTAAGAGTTGTCAAAAGCCATGTGCTACCTGTATTCTATATTTTTAACCAAGTTATTACAAGCAGTGATTACTTGAAAATAATCTGTAAACTATGCTCTGTGAAATAGAGTTGTGATTTCTTTTTATGGCTACCATTCTACTTACTTCATTGTGTAATAAATCTTTGACAAAATGCACTAAAAGAACTGTGATGGCAAAAATGTAACACTGTGTCTCAAATTAGCTAACAAACAAGATAACAAATCACAATAAAAATAGAAAATAAGAGAACTAACCCCCAAAATATGCAGTGGTGCCTCCATCAGTGGTTTTCTTCCATTAACAGTGATGCATGGAATATGAAAATATTGGAAAACAACCGTCAGAGAAAGTCAAATAATGTGTACTTGACACAAGCCATTGATATGTCATCCCATCGAAGGCAGGTACAGTAAAGAGGTGAAATGAAAGTCAGAAGCAATATCTGACTTCAATAAGTACTTCTGCCATTTTGAAAACATAAATTCCAGGCAGTTATTTCTATGTAAATAAGAACAAAATAAATAACTACTCCAAGAAAAAGAATCTGTAGGATTCATTTCTACATTTGCATTTGTTATAATCTTTTCTTTTTACTGCTCATACCAACTTCTAAAGCACCCTGAACAACTCGCACAATTATTCAGCTTTCTTCCTCCGTCCCTTGCAAGTATACTTCCTACATTTGGGAAGTTGCAGCAAGTAGACCAGGAAACACACATCGGGACAGTTAATTTGGCACACAGTCTGCTCCTACCCACTGTCTTTCCAGGAGGGATTGAAGAAGCTGACTATGGACCGGGTGGATTTTTCTGGTGATTCCTAATCACCTCGCTTCCATGGTGCAAACTGGGGAAGGATTAGTATTAATGTGTGTGCAAGTGGTACCTAAGAGATGTGCATGAATCCTGACACATAGGAAAAACTGACCAAGCTCTGCGTTTCCAGCAGAGGCGACTAGAAGAGGCGATGGCGTGCCGCCCTTCTGTAAGGCTAGCCAGAGGCTATGTTATTCACCCAGGTGGAAAAGCAGCCTAATATTTCTTTAATGAATTGATTTCACAGGTAACAGATGAAGCAAGGGATGACAAATTAATCTGGCAAAAACAAGTAATATTCGAGCAGGTGACTGAGCCGTTCCACAAGACACTATTCTCAGCTACAGTATCAGAAATGTTGATAGCATCATTCTCTTTAGGAGAGCCAATATGAGATTAAGCTTTTCTGTAGTAGCACAATGCAATAGATTGGTAGACGGAAGAGAGCAGAAAATGCTGGCAGTTGTTTCCTTTCTCTGTTATTAGTTTTCTTAAAACAACATTCAGTCCTTGCGACTTGAGAAATAATGTTCATCTATAGCACATATGGTCCATGCTGATACAATTTTACAGCTTTTACATTATGAAAACACTAGAATCTAGGAGCCAGAGAAGAATTACACCTTCTCTATGAGACAGACCAGTATTTTGTATGTGAAATGTATAGCCAGGTCTGTCCAGGAAAAAAGAAGAGATCAGATTCTGATCAAAGCTTTCATAGAGTAAATCCAGGATAATTCCACTGAAATGAAATGGAGTTGCTTTGGGCTTAAGTGACTATAATTGAAATTAAAATCTAACTAATAAGTATTGGCAAAGAAATGCATAAGGTAAGGCAACACTAGATTGAACATAAGAGGATTTTGGTGGAAATCCTCTCCATGGAAACCAGAGCAGAGCTGGATGATGCACACCTGTGTGAGCCTCAAACTGCTGTAGAACAGGGATGCAGGCAGGATTGCACGTCCAAACCCAGGAGAGGTGAAATGTTCCCAACAGCCCAGAATTAGATATAGGTCCCTCTAGACATTTGGGGGAAAATGTTGCCAAAACTGACATTCAGTGAAACATTTTTCAGCATATGGGTGTCAGTATTACAAGAGGCTGTTGTCCAGATACCAAAACTCCTTTTGGCAAAGAATTTAGTATAAGGGTTAATTTAAAATATTATAAATGCAGTAAAAGTAAAGAAATAGTTCACAGTTCTAGTTTTTCTGAAATTCTGGGATGATATGAAGGCCTTCTTAGTATTCAGTTTCTCATGCCCTCTTTTCCCCATGTGATAACTCCTTTGTAGACTATTAATGTTAGGTCATCTGAAAATGAAATCTGGGCTATGTAATCAACTCAAGAACAAAAGTATTGAAAAGAACATTTTGAAAGAAGAACATAACTGCTGTTTCTGTTCTGTAGCTTTGTGACCTATTTGTAAGTGAGAAACGCTGTATTTATGAACACTTAATACGTGAACCTGGATTTATTGTGCCTTGTGTGAAAAAGCTAATACGGTCTGTGCCAATTAATATTGTTTGATGTTAAAAATAATTACAAAATCTGAGAACTGTACTTGAGTAGAGTATCCACATCTCATGGGAGACAGTGCAGCTACTAGAGAAGGAGGGAAAAAAGTAACCTTTCAGTAACCATACATATTTTCTTTAAACTAGTAGAGAGATAGTACAATACTTACATTCTTAATAATAATGACAGATTATAAATATATTTTATTACTGGTGGCGAAATATTGAAAAGATGTATTTATGAAAGTGTTGTTAATATATTATACTCTGAACTGCATTATCATTATTACATTTCCAATTTTCTCTTGCCTTTACATATAAGATTCTGCTCATGGTTGTTGTTTTATTGTTGTCGTCTCCTGTAAGGACACCATATTTGACTAGTAGTACTGACATGGCAGTTGCCTTACAACAGCAGGCTAAACCTTGAGACATGTAAACTTGAATTGCTCAAGGACAGGAGCAAATGAGAAACAAAACTGAGAACCCTGAAGGCTGGGGAGGGGGATGACATTAAATAACCATCCATGGATAATATATCTACATAGCATATGTAGAGTCCGTATGACCTAAATGGAAAAATAATGAGATGTTTAGTGTTTTTCTGTTCTAATTTGTGAGCTGTCGAGTTCCTTTAAAGTCTGTATCCAAAGCCTACTAAACAGACATGTAGGTTTTAATTGGCAGCATTAATAAATGGAAACAAAACTATGACTGTTGTCTGCCTTTGCTCTTAACCAAACTTTTCCCATTTTATTCATGCCGGATGCACTGTAAGGGGTCCAACTTCCCCACTCAAGTCACGTCACGCCGCCGACTTTCACCATCAATGACTTTTTCTCAATGTGTTCTTCGAACAAATTACTTTGCAAATGAGAGTTCCTGCGGGAAGATTGTTCTTCAGCAACATGAGTCTGAAAAATGCCTGGCCATAACCGGGGTCAATGCCGACCCTTCTGTAAAGTTCTGCACGGTCCTGCAGCTGGATCTGCCACTGGAGCCAGCTGCCCGGCTTCGGCTTTGGTTTGCAGCTCAGGCACCATCCGGCAGGACAAGGCAGTGGCCCGTTTCACTAGCCCTGCCTGGCTGTGGCCGGTGTTCCCGAGGGCAGCTTGCAGCTGCAGGCTCCTTCGCTCCCTGCCCCTCTGCAGCCCAAGGGAAACCAGGCAAGCACGCCCTGGGGGAATTTGATGGCAGCAGCGTTACAACTTGTAAACGTTAGCCCAATTTGGTTTAGATGATAGCTTGCATAGCAGCCCAGACAGTTTAATATGCTGTCTGCACTAATGGTATAACAAGCTTGACGTATAACAAAAACCTGACAGTAACTGTAAGAAATGTTTCTAATAGGAAATTAAATGTTCACCCACACAGAAGTGACTATGTTAATACCAGAGGTGTAGCTGCAGCATAGTGTGCTAATTTGCATCTAGGATGGTGTGCGCTAATTTGAATGTGGGTGGGTGTGATCCAGCTGGGGACTCTGCGACGAGCTTCAGTTTGTAAGGTACGTCCACCTGGGCCACCATCTTTTGCTCTGTAAGGCATCATGTTATCCACCTCATCCCTCTTTTTAGCAGAGCTGTTCCCCCAAAAAGGCCTGCTCAGCAGCTGTGTTTTCCGAGGATGATAGGCAGCATCAGCTCCCGATGCTGCAGTGGTGGCTGTGGTGGCCTTGCAGCCTGTCCCAGTGGGAGGAATAAAATTGGTGGCCATGGAGGTGAGGCGCCAGCTGGGCACGACGTGCGGGTTCCCATCGCTAGCGCCCGAACCACCAGGTTCTCGTGTAACTTAGAGGGGGCCTAAGGAAAGGTGGGGAGGGACTCTCCATCAGGGAGTGTCACGGTAGGATGAGGGGTAACAGTTTCAAACTGGAAGAAGGTAGATTTAGATTTGATATTAGGAAGAAATTTTTCACTCTGAGGGTGGTGAGGCACTGGAACAGGTTGCCCAGAGAAGTTGTGGAGGCCCCATCCCTGGAGGTGTTCAAGGCCAGGCTGGATGGGGCTTTGAGCAACCTGCTCTGGTGGGAAGCGTCCCTG